CCCAGCATCTCACCTTCCTCGTTTTACCTTGAGGGGCAACCTAGTCTCATCTTCCCAACTGGACGAGACCCTGATGCTGCCTCTTTGCGCCTTCATTCTCAGTCTCTAATTCTTCCCGGCGAAGAAATAACAAAGCTGGAGGGTGTAATGAAAGAAAAAAAAGATGAGAAAAAGGGAGATAAAAAAAATGAGAAAAAAAAGGTAATTGACCGCTTCCTTCGGTGCTCCTCTGGTCACTCTTGTTCAGCCTGGAGGGAACGGGGGAGGGGGCTGATAAAAGCCCGCCCGTATCTCGGTAGCAAGTATTCCATTTTGGAGGGGGCGTTCCAGCTAAATTTTGACTGGGTAAACTGAAAGACGAGAGGAAATAATGGCCCCCAGCTTGGTACACTCGGTTCGCTAATTTCCAGTGCTAACTTTACAGCCGTCCCGAGAGAGGAGTTCCGAGTGCTATTTCGGCGGCTTTTTCTCTGTTGCACATGTACTCACACCCCATCTTGGCTGAGTGTCTGGCGTTCCTCTTCAACGACTCCACAATGGACCGCCGCTGAATATTTAACGTTTAATGAAAATAAAAATGGAAAGGGGGGAATGCGTTTGGGAAAGGCATCGACGAGAGTGAAAGTACACCGGAATTCTTGAGGCCGCCCAGACTCACTCACTCACTCGTACATTACGCAAGATATGTGCCAACAGGTGCATTGACTATGTAATACGGGCCCAGCGTCCCACTGCTAACTCCATCCTGGCTTTCATTAATCTGTTGGCTTTCTTCGATTAATCCATTATTTTATTTGTTCTTTATTTGCGTACTGAGATTATCGGTTATTCTTTTAAGAGGGATCTGCATATGTTCGATAATCTTTCAGCCAAAATTCTCGTCTTTTTGTTTATTTTTTGGGGAATTTATCGATGGGATTGCCTTGGAAATATATGATGTTTTGGCATTTCGTAGTTTTTAGCAAAATTTTCGGAAAAATGCAGGAAAATATTCGCACCGCCTAGGAAATCTAAAAACGGTATATCTTTTTGAAGTCAATTTGATCCACGGCTTTTCAGAAAAAATATAAAAATGAGAGGATATCGGTGATAACTTCTTAATAAGGTTCGACGATTCGCTTTCTGCAAACGTTAATCCACTTTATCGGCTGCACGCAGTTTTTTTTTCGGTTTCGAATCGCTGCGAGTTTGTGGAATTATCATGAGTTTTTCTCGGGGATCCCGGCATTTTTCTTTTGGCGTTCTCCTGGTTTTTTTTTACGATCGTTATCGGAGTGCGAGGCCATGTATCTGTAATTATATCTGCAATTATAATTTTTTTGTGGAGAGAATCTTTTAATTGAGGACTGGAGAAAAGAAATTGAGTGATGGTCAACTTTCTTCGTCGAATTGGTTGAGATTAATTTATTTCATATTTTAGTTTTTGTTAATTGATTATTAGGAGGTTTATTGAGATTTTTCCGTTTTTTAAATGATCTATAGGTTATTGCCATTGAGAAATTTTGTTTGTGATTGTGAATTTCTAATCATGTATTGTCGATAATATTTACTCAACCATGAATCCCGGACAAAAGAGAAAGAGCTTCTCAGAGGGAAGAATTTATGTGAATCACCGTCAATTTTACCTCTCCTACTCGCGCCGATAAATATTTGCCGCACATCGTAATCCCCTTCGCTTCATATCCTTGAACATTACTCCAGACAATTATTGATATTGCCTGTTTCAGTCCCGTACAAGGATAAAAATCAATTATTTAACCCGATTTTTCTTCATCCCATAGGCCACTAGAAAATTACTCGTTAAATCGCTAACAGCGTATATTCGAAATAGAATTTCTCATCATTAAGAATAAATTGATTTCGACGCGTAACTTTTGTGCAAAAATCCAGACTACAACAATTTCAATGTAAAAATCTCTTGGAAGCCAACAAGTAGGTTGCACTATGACTAAATGTCAGGGGTAAATTGACCAGGGATTTGTGTTCAGTTGAAAAGGAAGTAGTGAGAGATGATTTTAACACGAATATACCGTGATTAAAATAAGTCGTGAGTTTCTATTGAACATGTTGCACATGTATATGATTATCACCTGACGGTGTTGTGCGTGGCGCGGGTGAAGTACACGCACACCAAGTATTACTTATAACATACTTTCCCTTGTGCACATGAGAAGTACGGGTGAGTGTATTTACTATTGAAGTAGTTTGCACGGGTATATTATATTTGTGTGCCATGTTAAGTGTCCGGGCGTGTGGTCCATAGGATGCAGACTACTGCATCATCTGAGTGAGGGGTGAGGGGCCAACACTTATAATAAGAGATGTGGATTAACATAAATCTAACCGCGGTACACCGTAACGACTACCCGTACGACAGGTGCGTGAGTGTATTACGACTTTTTCGCGGGAGGGCATGACTCTGTGGTTATACTTTCCGCACAACGTTTTTTTTTTCAATTTTTTCTCTTCACTCGTTCGTTGGTTACTGCAACCCCTTCCCTCCCTATCCCCCCCCTCTCACTCACTCTCTCTCTCTCGGTTTTTCACCGTTTATGCAGTAATATCTGGAAATAAAAGAATATTAATTCTGTTAGTGGGTTCATAAACGTGAAATACGTTTTCTAGCTCTTTGTTCAGAGGATATTTTTCGTTGCTCTTGCTTTATGAAAATTGTTTCATGAATACAATGAGTATTTTTTATGTTCTGGTGTTTTTGCTTTCTGGAATTTTGTATTCATGTATTCAGCAGGTGTTGAGGGTTTGAAATGACTGGACAGACGGAGGAACAATCAATTTCTAAGATTGTTTTCGTGGTTTTAATTTTACGAATAAATATTATTTCAATTATTCATCAATTCTTGGGAGATTACATACCACTTGCTGCAAGATTGAACTTGATTTTTCAATGAATTGAGAAGATTTTAATTGAATATTCGTGTATTATTTTTAAGTACATGTTTGCGCTTTATGTTTTGCACGATTTTTTTAGTCGTAAGATGCAATTTGTTTCCATTTACATCAACTTCTACTTATCCCATTAACCCACAAACCGCTGGACTGTGAAAAAAAGTCAAACATTTATTTAATGTTTTTTTTGTTGAGGAGAAACGTGACGCACGCGACGTCCTGTGGGCGGTTGAGCCCTCCAGAGCCAGATGGTTCCTAGGCAAAAGCTTCGTTTTATTTTGCTACAGAGACTTTACCCGAGCGATTATCCCCTTTGACTGCTGAAAATCGCAGTCTCTCTCACAATACTTACAATTGGTGATGCTGGATAATTAAAGGGCTCGGATAAACCGGCCAGTTGGCATCGGTAAGGCCCCAGACGCCGATCTCCACTGATGGATCGATCGAAAAACGTGATGTTTCCTTTGCTCCGTTAGTTTACCCCTCTTGGTATGTCTCAATGATAAAAGAACCAGGCGAATGGAAAAATTTTTAAAGGCGTTTCAACGAGGGAGATTATCTCGAGTGCAGTTTGCCAGGGGATGACATAAGAGACATTTTTATACATCGCTGTTTGTAAAAAAATGAGGTCAGAAATGTGTCTCGCTGCCAACGTATCTTAACCTTTTTTTTACCATTTTTATTTTCTCATTTGACGCTGGGCAACATGTGTCTTGATTCCGCGCGAGACCTTGACAAGGGAAAATAAATTGTAGATTGCCTTCGCAGTCGCTGAAGAATTTAATTGGTCGTCAGCATTGAGAGGCTGCTAATCATAATGAATACTATATCATTGAACTTAACTCTATTGCGACATTCTGTTGACAATGGAAACAATGGGATAATGTACATCCATTATTTTTAAACAAGTGGCTCTGGGATTTTGGTTTTGATTTTAAACAATTACACACACACAATTAAATTTTTGAGTTGACGATTACGTCGGGTTAAGACTTTCTTGTTGTTGACCCAACAGATTAAAGAGTGGATTCGGATTCTTAACCAGAAAATTGAGTGTCGTGCTGAGGGAATAAGGAGGATATTGAACGCGAGGGTGTTAAAGAGAGGCAAGATTGCAGTTAACATGCGAAAGCAATTACGTTTACTCCCATGTATTTTCCCGTGACTCGATTTACCACCATGAGGGCCACATTTTCTCTGAGCAAAACCAGAGACCTACCACCTCTACATAATTTATCCAGCTTTAGAATTCTCGCGCCTAGAGAGCCACAAGTTGAAACAATGTCGCCGATCTCGGAGGGGAAAAAATTTGTCGATTGACTGAATCGTCCTGGAACAGTTTTCATCCTAGCGGTTTCGTTGAATTTACGCCGATCGAACTCGAGAACGTCGTCGGGGCAAGTTCGTTAGGACAAAACCTAACGTATCATCGTGATGACTCTTCGATCCATGAATCAAGTTTGACTGGAGTTAACGAGGCGACTGGGAGAACATCACGAATTTAATGATTTTCCTTCGATTTCTTTTTAGGTGGAATGGGAGTACTGCCACGCTGTCATTTTTTCATTTCTATGATCTTTTAATTTATAGAAAAATAGTCGATGAGTAATTCAGTAATTGTTTACATTAAGATGATACCGTACGTACTCGAAAATGGACAATTACCACAATATTCAAGAAATTAACTGATTCGCCTATGAGAAATTCGACATAATGATTTTCAATAATTTTATATTACTTTGTCGTTACTGAAAATTTCAAGTTTTCTTATTTGAAATTTCAAGCGTAATTTTCCAACAGTGTAGTTGAACTGATGCTCTTGTACTAAAACATAATCTCAGAGTCATGCGATTATCCGGAAATGATGGAAAGATAATACTAATAATAATAAATTGAGTAAATAATGCAGATTATTTGAAAGGGGCATATTTATCTAAATTGCTTCTTCATCAGAGTTATTTTAACGACCTCTTAGCGCAACGTCTACCGCTTTCGGAAGCATGCTATCAATTAATTACCATCACCAAGGATTACTTAAAAAATGCCATCTAGTTTCTCCACTTGTTAATCCTTCAAAATTATTCTGATTGCAGATAAATCATGTTCAAACGACTGGCAAAAGCGAGGCGACACAGCTCAGACGAAGTTGGTGCCTCGCTTCCGCCAACTCCAATGGACGAGCCACCGGGAAATGCAGAGGCATCGAATAAATTCCTCGATGTACCAATCCATCAGGCATTTAATCCAGCAATCCTCCGTGGCTCGAGATTCAAGTATGCGAGAAGAAGTTGTGGCGATGCTACGGCAATTCAGTCAATGATGCTCAACGACGAGACTGGAATTGGTACACGCGTCGAGGTTGACAATGATTATCAGACTGTCACTGCTGTCCCGGCCTTTATCGTCGAGCATGAGCCTGAGAAAACCCGAGGTAAATGTTTCTCTGCACTCATAGACAATGTCACCGCATGATTTTTTATGAAATTCTTGAAATAATCAACCAGAACTTGCATTTTTTCGTGCCAGAAAATAATGCAAATGCCTTAATAGATTCCGTATAAATTTCACGCTATGAAAACATCAAGTCTTTCGCTTGAAATTTCACGAGTAATTTTCCAACAGTATGTTGGAAATCATGAAAATTCAATTCTATGTCATGTTTTATGTTCACAATGAAAGAACCCGTAACGGGAATTGTAACTTCTCTATTTCTGTCGAGTATTTCTAGTGGGAATTTTTGAAATAGACGACGATAGCAGATTCCCATGAATTCGATTTTATTCTTGCCCAATGGCAATTCAGATTTCAAGTTGATGTGGCAAAACTGTTGACAGCCATGAAAATTCAACATAATAGAATTCTAGTATCTCTAAATTCAAATGAAAGTTGAAGAAAAAAGGGACATTGTAAAGACATCCGACGAATACTCACATTCTCAGAAACCCACGTGACAAATTCTACCATGGAAACGCATAAAGAGAATGGTGAATGTCCGATAAATGCAAATGAGGTATCAGCCTATTGATGCTCAATCGCGATGGTGCGATTTTGCAATAGATAAATCAATTACGAAATCAATTGTACTGAATCGACGTGGGTGGCTGCAAAACTTCCGTTAATTACCCACAACGAATCAATCTGCAAAATAATTGAAAAATTTCCCCATCAATTAATTAGGCATTTTGCCAGAGCCCTATAGAGAGCTGCGACGTCTCTCAACCGAGCTAATGAATTCTATCATTCCCGGAGAACAATGGACCGTTGATGGTCTCATCTCCCTCCATAACGCGTCTAAAAACAAGTTGGAAGAAAATGATAATAGCTCTGGTGTGATTGACGGCCGTGTAAAATGCCCCAGAAAAGGTTCTCCCCCTGCCATTACCCCACCTCAATTTCCTATTAACAAACTATAAATTAATAAACCCTATAAATTCCAATCTCCAGTAGCCCAGCAAGTGGCATCACCTCGGTTGAAAACCGGTAGCCATCTGCCTATCATTGAACACTACAAAAATCCACGAATTAATCGCAAGACGCCGCGAACAATCCGGATATTCCGGATTGTATCAAACCCACCAAGCCGGTCGCGAGCACTCTTACCTCAGTCGGACAAACCAAAAGAGGCAAAAACCTCAAAACTACAGCATAAAAAATGAAGAATAGGGAAAAATGGGATAGTATTAAAAAGTAAGTAGCATTAACCCCACCACAATGACCAGTGTCCTCGAGGACTCTCGGCAATATTGTCACGTGGCGGCTCTAAGTGCACCATAAGCCTTCCAGAAAGGAAGGGAATGAACGCTCTGCTACTTGCTAGAATACCCCGGCATGGATGAGTGCGTGTGTGCGTGGTTATAACACGATGAGAAACGACAACAAACATCCCAACTAACATAACGCTGAAAAGCAAGTAGTTGTCAGTCTTGTCGCTGGATCTCGTTGCAGCAACTACAAAACTTGCCTTTGATACACCTCAAGTGCGTGCTCCCTCCTCCTCACGGTTTAATCGATAACTCGTTCAGGCCATTTACCCCTCATACGACCAATCAATTGCATCTCCCTTTGGACATTGGACTGACTCTCTTCGTCTTACCCAGGATACGTTGGACTACTGTCCTTGGCCGGGAGAAGAACAACTCCGGCCCTAGCCATATCTTGAAAACCGGAAATTATTACGCTCGTCGTTTGGCGTGCGAGCCAGTCTTTTTCAAGATTTACGACGAAGCTCATAAGTCCAGAGTCAGGAACACTACTATCCGGACTTGCAGGGCATACAAGGTACATCCAGCACAAGTTGAATTTTACCCCTCTTGTTGTAGGAGATAGCCCCAGTCATTTCCGAGGAGTCATCGAACGCACATCAGTTGGATACTTAATGCAGTCCTACGCACCGGATGTTACGAGCCAGTGCTACACATATCTCATCCAAATGAGACTCCAATGCACATTACGAGGGGCAAATAAAAAGCTGAGATATTTAAAAATATATCATACGGACGAGGTGTGGAGGCTATCCTTGAGGCCATACTGAACTCGGTATTTCGACATCGTAAAAGTCAACAGGGCGAAGACGTTAAACCCGCCAATGCGGCTTTGATGGTACATAATTTAAAAAAAAATCAAATAAGTGCACCGAGCCATTGGAACTGGTGCTCCTTTTTTCCAGTGGTTTGTGGCTTTGAGAACCACTCTTGACCCCCCCC